ACTGAGAAGGGACATCTGTCAAATACACCTGTAATAAAGCATCAAAGTACGTTGGCACAAGTGTAAGACTATATTTGCTATTATTCTATTTTTTTTATCAATAGTACGAAATGATATTTCATTCTGTCCTTCTACACGAAAAAAAATCAGATCAAGGACAATGATTTACCAGCTACTTTTGCCTAAAATTTCATGATTGATTTTATTGCTACATTAATAAATAAAAATCAATGTTCTTTTAGCACAAATCAATCTATTATTTCTTATAGCCATTTAGTTTATTAATTACTTGTTTCTCCCTCTCTCTCTCGTCTTCATTATTGTGAATAGTAGCATGATTTATTTAGTTATTTTTTATTAACGGAATAATTATTGACTTTTGAGTGTAATTAAATCATATGTATCATAAATTCATCGAAATTGAAAAACCATATGCTATATTGATCTTTAAATACTTTTTTTTATGCATATATCAATAGAACACAAAAATTTGAGCATCTATTCAATTCAGACTAATTTGATGATGTGTATTTAGAAATTTAAGGTGTATAAGTATCCATACAAATGTCGAGGCTTGTTGTGTTCGAACGAAAAATGTTAGACGACTAACTTTTTCGCTGACAGATAGAGCAAAGTATATGTACTTGTTTTAAAATTACTGAATATGACTTCTTATCAATGTATATGTTTTCTTGTTTTAGCTTGCATAATGTTAGCTAAAAAAGAAAATGGTGAGTTTGAACTTGGAAAAAAACAAGGCTATAAAATCTAGAATTTCTGAAAATTGACTTTCTAGCTTTCTGCATATTCCAGGTAGCTACCAATTAGTGTTAAATGCCTAATCAGTAGCATCCATGGTTTTTAACGAAGGTTTTAAATACTTGTATGAAAACAAACTTTTAAAGATGTTCAAAATATGTAGTGTTTTGAATCATACAAGAATATGTATGAAACATTAGAAAAATACATTATTTTGAGATCATAAATGGCATAGCGAAAATTGCGTATAAAATCATACTTTGCGCCAATTTTGATGTATTTAGAAACTTCAATAACTCGACAAAATTGTATTCATTTGACTTAAACCTTTTTTCAGTCACAGCTAATATAGTTACTTAAAATTTATGTCCCATTTGGAAGCATTAAAACAAATACAGAGCTAACATATGAAAGAATTCCTTATGTTACCTTCGTAACAAGTCTTTTTTGAATGGTTTTAAAAACATCTAAAATTTAACGTCTTAAATTACTTCGTAAATTTTATTTCGAATATGCATTATTGTCATACCCTTGATCAAATCTTTTCGACGAGATACTTTCTTAAGGTAATATTACATTTGTCCATGAATATTATCAAACCAATTTTGTTTGATAACGATAATGCAGCTTAGTATAATTTTACAATCAGTCTTCAATTTTCAATTTTTTTTGTTAAAAATTACCGTCGTCACCAACACTATCAAAATCACGTGTGATCGTAAGTTCGTATGTATTACAAAGCAAACAATGATCACACTTAGTTAAAAAAAGGTCAACAAATTCCAGATTGACTGTAAAAATCATACTGAACTGCATTATCATCATTAATTATTATAATGATATTTTCCGAATTTTCTTTCAACTCAGTTCTGTTTTTTTCTTATCTTGACATAACTATATATTTAATGTAGAATACCAACATTGGCTTAACAACATCATCAATCATTCTCAATATTATTTTTGTATTCGTCAAAATGGAATATTTGTCACTTACCTCGAATATTTATCATTCATAACAAAAATTGTAATAGAGTTGAAAGAAATTTTCTTAAGCTAATAAGAAAAATTTGATCATTCCATAACATTTACAAATAATAAGCGATGCAAGTCTTTCGAAAAATGTTAAGCGCTATTTCAGACTCACGGATACATGTTCGTATGAACATTTTATGATCAACTGACAGTAGAAACACTGACACAACATATTTCAAACTTCTACTGTGATGCTTCAAATCATTCTGTAAAAACTATGGTGAATTATTTTGAAAAAGTAAAACATTTTACAAATTGTCTAAAATGTGAAACCAGAAAAAATCTGTCTCAAAGTAGTCTACCGGTTAAATTATCCAACAAGACTTCGAATGGTATTATTAAATCTGGTACAGTCTAAGTCAACGTAAAATAGCAACATGTTTTCGAACACATCGGCCGATAATTTCACGTTATCTTCCAAAACGAACATTAATTGCTATAAGAAAATGTCGGAAAGTTTCAAAAATGGATAGTGAACAGCAACTAATTCGAGTACGAACGAATTGTGGTGAAAGTATATCGGAAATTGTTACATGACAATGACTTAATTATGGAAGATGAAAAATGCTTCAAATAGACTAGAAACAACCTCATCAGAAATTGATATTTTCTATTCAAATTATCCAATTACAACTTTTTCAAACGCCAAGTCTCAAAAGAAAGCAAAATTGAAACCAAAAGTAATGATTTAGATGGCTATGTCTTCGAAGGGGATTTCGAATATCTATGTTCATAAGAGCAAGCAAGCTGTCGATCAAGAAATAAATATTAAAAATAATACATTACTAACAAACTATTGTTTTTTGTTGATAAATATCAATCAGATAGTAATTATCTATTCTGGTCCCATTTACCAAGAACTCATTACTCAAATGTTGTTCAAAAATGTTTGAATGAGAAAAACATACCATTTATTTCTCGTGCTAACAATCTTCAAAGCGTACCTTAAACTCATCAAATTAAGACCGAAAAATATATTTAAACGATTGAAAAGCAAAAACTATTGATCATTTGGTTCGAAGAATTAAACAAAAGACAAAAGAACTTGATCAAAAAAATTTTTGAAGCCACGATGGAGTGTATTATGAAGAATCTTTGAGCTATGTGGCAAGACAGACTGTATTCAGCTCTCTAAATACACTTTTGTAGTTACTTGTCATGCTCTTTCTAACAAAAAAAAAAAAAGTTAACTCTGCATCCTCTAAAGTTGTTGAGCATTGCAGCTCAACATTTTTCCAATGATGTTTCCATTGCTTATTGGCTTCTAAGTTTGATGAAAAAAACATAATTGTTTATGTGCTTGAATATTACAAATAAATCTATAGATTCAATTGAGATAACTGACATATTGAGAAATAGAAAACCATGTTGTAATGATTGCTCAAAATATATCGTCGACAATTAAGAAGATTGACAGTTTTTAAATACACTCATGCACACATTTATAAATAATAGTATTAATTTTCCTGTGCATAAAAAACAAGGTCAGAAGAAAAATATGCTTCTTCTTTTCCAATTCTTTCATCACGTACATGCAGCAAATATAAGATATAATGATGAAATTTGATTTATTATTGAATTTCCATGATGCAATTATTGACATAAGATAGAGATACTTTAGTATACAAATTTATATACATATTTCTAATAATCACAAACACATCTGTCGAACAAAATGATATTAGTAAATAATCGATTATGATCAGGTTGAATTAATTTATTTCCGTTATATAATACATTCGAAATTTATAAATAATTTAAAATATATTTCAATTGCTTTTCAAAAGAATATCAATCGATCTTATTTCCTCATTAGTTTGTTTCGAAAGAAATACTGATAATTCTTATTCACATGTGTAAACGGAAACAGATGTATATTTTTTTAATTTAACTTATTGATTCGAACTAACCGTTAAACCAAATTGTTTCCTATTATTAATAAAACAACAAGATAATATAATTATGGAGTAATATATTCATATAAAAGCAAGTCTCATGACTGAAAAAAGATCATAGACGGAACCTAACACTTAAATCAGGAGATGTAATATCGATATTATTTACGCTTTACTATCATTGAAGATAACGTTCTAAAGCGTGAGAGAGAGTACACCCTCAAGCTCTCTTCTGATTTATACGCTTGAAAAAAAGATTCAAGACAGTATTATGACGTCTTAATCTCGATTCTGTAACATTATTATACTACTACTCAAACGATGATCATATCAGAATCACATAATTACGTTGTAATTTGACTTGTCCTCTCAAGTTATATGAGATTTTTGAAATTTATGAGTTATACTAAGTGGAAATGATTTATTTGTAGACATGATTTGGCTCATTCCTGGAATGATTCATATCCTATTCTCTACAGAAAGAAAAAAAGAGCAATTAAATTTTTTCTTTTATTTGTTTATCGAGAAGCATGTTATAAAATATTGTTTTTATAGAGTTTGTTCTTCTTATTCTTTTGATTGATTAGGTAAGAGGGAAGACAGTAAAACATTTTACCTGTTAAATGAATTTAGTTGTTGTTTCTTATTACTTACAATCGAATAATTATATATTTCATTTTAATTTTGTTTATATCGAAAACAAATAAATTCCAAGAGAATGGACAGTCATAGTATAATAATTTATTTTCTTTTATTTGCTCATGTTTTAATGACATGTTTGAGAAACCACACAAAAGACATACGTGACCGTTTTTTAAGCTGGCAACCAATGCGTTTCAAAAGATTTGTTTTCTTTGCGATTGACGGATGGAATTTTTTTCATATTCTTTGACAGTACAACAGGTAACGATGTGATTAATTGAAAAACTTAAATTTAAGTGTGATTGTTATGGCGTGCCGTGCATAAAACAGCATGATCGATAATATACTGATTATGAATAACCAAACAACAATGGCGTTCGTTACTTTACCTTTCATGTACATTATTCTTTAGTTGTTTGAATATAATATATGTTGTTAAGATACAGTGAGAGAATCTAAAAAATATAAAGAATAAAAAAAAAATGAATATGATCATTTTTACACTTGTTAAATATTTGTTTTTAACGATCAATTTTATATGTTTCTAGACGGCTGTACGGACCTTAAATGAAACTCATCTCGCGATAAGACAAAATATTGACAATAAAACTTTACAGAAGGCAATGCAGGTAAATGATGAAAGTATTTACAGCATTCGCTTCATCGACATCAATGAGAAGTCGTCGATTTATTTATTTCATTCTTACTGGTCTTCTTGGCTCATGCGTGATTTTTATTATATCAAATTTCACTTATTCATCGTCTGTGTCTGTTTTACCTTGGAAAATCGATTATCGACGACGACCTGAATGTACATGTTTGAGATCTGAGTTACCTCCATTATCATCTCCTTTGACATCCGAACAAAATGATAGTCAAGCATCTCTTTGTAGTCAATATGCTACACAACGAGGACCTCATCAACGTATTATTTCAATCAGTATTTTTGGTCCAAAAGAAAATAAAATGTTTCAAGTTAATCGAACACTTAATTTTCTTCATGAACTTATAAAAGATCTGAATATAATATATTCTGATGGATTTATATTACGGATTCATCATGATAAAACAATTAATACAACAGATATTATTTGTCCTATTGAATGTAATCATCCAAATGTGGATTTTTGTAGTATGAATCATAAACTTTATATTCCACCAAAAATTTGGCGTTTTATACCTGCTGGTGATCCATTAGTTAATGTCAGTAAGTTATAAATTTTGATATTCGTTTCTCTTGACTAGTCTACCGTACGATTAACATATCTATATGAATAATTATGAATATACAGAAAAATATAACAATGTAAAATCTTTTTTTATTATTATGCATATAACTTGCATACACTTCACACTCTATGATATTAAAATCAAAATTGTTATTAAATAAATAGATATGAAATAGTCTCGAGAGAAAAAACATATAACATTTAGTGCCATTTACAACATGAAATAAAGGTTACTTGTGATGAAGTAAGTTTAAATTCAAATATACAATCTCACTTGAAAAGAAAAAAAGAATAATGCATTTATGAAAAATGTGAATGTTCGATTTATGACTATACAGATGAAAATAATTAATTACAAAGGATAGAGTAGTATTGCATAGCGGAAAGTGTTGAGTTGCCAATAAAATTTACGTGAGAACAAATACAAATATATTCTACAGACAGTTTCTAATTCAAGTACTTTTGTTTCTATCATTGAGTCGTCATTCTTTAATAAATGTATATGGATTTGTAAATTTGATTAACATAAAGAAAAGAAAAAGAAATTGATGTAAATTCTTTGCAACATTTTTGAAACGATAATATACAATAAAATACGAAGAAAAATGTGTTAATTTCATATTCCTTCTAAGCGTATGTGCATATATGATATATTGCTATTGAAAGACGATGAAAAATATTGACGATGTGTCACATAAGAGGAAGTGATTTCTATCGCATGCTTTTATTTCATTAAAAATATTTTCATTTTTTCAAAAAATTAAACAAACGAAAACTAATTTGAATTTACCGTAAAGTTGTTATTGATGGATGTTGTCGTTCATAGAAAATTTCATACTAAAATAGATCTAAATGTATAAGACTTAGCTTTTGAATCAATTTGTTTTGTAACCGATAGAGCTGAAAAAGCCCTACGATACAAAATCGTTCATATTTTGAATACATTTCATTGTAAGTGGAGACAAGGAAAAAATTCATTGAATATGAAATCATATCTGCTAGATTTTGATCTTTTGTAACAACAAATTCAATGATTCATCAACGAAACAGTATTATGATCTGCAATTCCCAGGCTATATTTCTAGAAGTTCACAACTCAAGTATACATATAAATCATTTTGAATAAGTACTAAATTTCAACTATTAATAAAAGTATGTGTACAAAAGCACTATTGCATATATTTTTGCATAAAACATGTATCGTACCAACTTTGTTAATTCATTTTTTGAATTTGTGTTCATTACGATTAACTATATGTCGCAGATACATGGTTTCAATAGCTACAAAAATATATCTAAATCATGAACACATTTTGATTTCACAATGAGAAACAAAGTATAGCATAATAAAGAAGGATAATGCAGTAATGAGTATCCAGGTTAAATAGTTCTATCAAAATGAAAATACCATTAGAGAAAACAAAAAGCGTTTTTAGATCGAATTCGTTTTTTTTCATAGAGAGTGTATCAGTAGCTCTGTACTTACATCAAATTTTCATTCACAAGTAATTGCTAGTGAAAGCCTTTCTAGTTTTTCAGTGAAAATATATCGTTCCGACATAGATTACATGTTTAATGGATTTGTTGTGTTGTGTCTTCAGTTAAGACGGATCGTTTTCAAAATAAAAAAAGATATCACTGGCATAGTAGAATCTCTTAAGTTCTATTTATTACAAAAATACTTAAACCAAAAAATAGTAATAAATTCTAAAGGAGCAGAAATAATATTGTAAAAAAAAATGATAGGTTTTGCTTTTGGATCACTCTGTAATTATGCTTAAGTAAATATGATGTTCGTTACTAATATATATGTCGGAGTTGACTTTAAAATTCAGTTGCCTTTTAAAGGCACCTAGTTGACTTTAAAATTCTTCAAAAATATTTCAAAGTCAACTAGTTGTCTTTTCCATTTTTCACAAATATTTTAAAGTCAACTCCCACATATATATATAGTATTTAATCACTTAAAATATATTTTAATCTCGTAATTATGTTTATTTAGTGATGAGTCGTGATCTTGACTCAGCATTAACAAAACGAGAACGTGATGCTGTTGATGTATGGCTCGCTTCAAATAAATCATTTCACACTATGCGTGATCATCCTATGCATGGTGTACCTATGCTTGGTGGCATGTGGGGTTTTCGACCATCATTAAATCGAAATTTATCTCGTTTAATACACGATAAAATTCACAATCAAGAATTAATTAAACGTTATGGTGGTCGTGCTGATCAAGGATTTCTTTCTTCTCATATTTGGCCATTTGCAAAAGCAAGTGCTATTGCACATGATAGCTTTTTGTGTACTCACGGATTTGGACACCAAGCAGACCCATTTCCAACACAACGACCATCAGCTAATGAAACGAATTGTTTTATAGGTTGTGTACGACCGTGTTGTGGTTTTGGAAAAATGCCATTTGGAGAATGTCCAAAACGATGTCGACCAAAAGATCATCCGGAATGGATTTATTGTTAGGCTTTTTCTTAGTTTATTTATCTGTTGTTTTTTATTCGTGAAAAATATTTAAATGGATCTCACGAAAGAATATTTTCCAGTGTTGAATCGTTTTTGACTTGAAACTTGTGCCATTCGATTGACCATGATGAGTACTAAAACAAGTCTGTCTTGGTTTAAGCATAGAATCGTTGTGAACTTAAATGATCGAATTGCGAACTAAAATTTGATTTACAAATAGACCTTATAGTAATCGAAAACATCCGAAAGTTCAAGCTAGGACGAACTTATTCTTGGTAAGGCATTCACATTATAAGAATGTTCGTCTTCGGCGATGTTTTAAAAGAAGGACGTTTCTATGATAAGCTGATGTCTCTAAATAGATATGCTTGTCCAAACTTAGACATTGGAATTTCCTCATCAGTCATTTTTCTCAGTGAATCTTTTGATACAGTTATACTTTTTATTTTATACATACTAGTTATCACGTTGTGAAAATGCAGTAAAAAATTTTCGTGTATATTAAGAGCATATATAATGCCTGCTATTATTACCTAGTATATGTTTTAATCAACAAAATGACAGTAAGTAAAATCAGAAGTAACAGATAGATATTATATCGAAAAGAAAAGATGTCCAATTAAATAACATTTAATTGAACTTTATCAACCATACAGAATTCATATCTATTGTTAGTTTCTTTTAAACAATTAAAAAAAAACTAATTTTTGTCTTCTCAATCGATGCTAATCGTGGTGATATCAAAGGTTACGTAAGTTTGTCTATGACCTCGCAAGAACAACATTAGAATGAATTGAATGCTTTCAAAAAATATGAATGAATAAATATTATACAATATGTTATTGATAGACATACTGATGCACATATTGTCTTTCTGTCTGAAGTGACACTACACTTTTCTTTACACATAACTATTGAGAGTACTAGTATGTTCATCAGTTATACAATGAAAACCATCAAAGAAAACGAAACAGAGCATAAAATATAATGAGTCATAAGTACATACTGAATATGTCAGTGTATATTTATTTACATTATCCTGCTACTTTCATAATTCTATTGAAAATGATTCAAATAAAAGAATAACTACGAAAAACGATTCATATAACAGAATATTAAAAAAAGTGACGATTATCAAAATAAATAATGTCATATTTTGCTTGATTCTTTTTATCTATTTTCTATTAGATTAAATATAACATTAACTAGTTTTTCTAGAAAAAAAAGGCTATTTGATAAGGATGATGTTAAACAGTCATTCAAACAAGATTTCTAAAAAAAGACGCGTTCGAAATATCTGAGCACATTAAAACACGTAAAGTTTTTTTTCTAAAATTACACGTTTTTACCTATTTGCACGGCAAATTTTACGAATTCTACAGTGTTCAAAGGCAGAAAAATGTATTAACATGGAAAGATCAGCTAAGAAAACATACTTTAGCATATATTTTCTTGAACACGTTTCACTGAGTTCCACAATAACTTGTTATTTCTCATTTTGTTAAAGTAAATCAAAGCGTATTTAAAGGATTTTTGCTTTTGTGATTCTTGAAAATGTTGAATCTTTTCGTTCAAAAACTTACGTCTATATGAATACACCTGATGGTGAAAATTTCATATTTATAGACCGATCTGATTGTTTTATCAGAATAGCAAGTCATCCTTTTAACAATCTTAAAAAAACCGGATATTCTCAAAGATGTGCAACTAATTTTTTCCTTTATATGTGCGAAATTATGCCAATTTCTATTGTCTAATTTTTTTGACTCATTTATGTATTATTTTTCTTACTGTTTAAATGTGGTTCTGATCAGGACTGCCATCTTCTCAAACCAGAAAAGCAGAAACAATGAGGAAAATCGCTTTTTTTGTGGTGTCTTCACATTTCTACGGTTTAAAATAGCTTGTTGCTTATTTCCATAATATTTCATTATTCTCGAAGTTTGAAAACATAATAATAAATACATAAAGAAAATGGATACTTCATGAAGCATATCAATCATTGGACAAATGTCTCACTTTTGAAAAAGAAAACTGTCGACATTAGTATCACTTGCTGAAACAGAACCCAGAATACATCATATAGACAATAATAGACCGTAGGCGACAGCCACCACAACTTACTTAAGCCTCTCACCCTTCCAAAAAAAGCACTCTTCATTAGGATGATCAAAATTAAGATCAATGTCGGGGAATATGGCCTGTGATCTAATCTCTCACAAATGACAAAATGTTTTTCTCGACATCTTGTTTTCTTTCAAAAATTTTTGAAGAATTCCGTCATTTCTTACTTGAAATATATGCTTTTTTCAAAAGCTTTTTTTCGCTTTTTCCCTGTTTATGCTTGTTTGATCGCGCATCCTAAAATACTCAAAGGGACTTCACTGTAATCAATTGTTTTTCTTTTGTTTGAAAGAACATGTCGAGATGCATAACATAATAGTCTCTTTTTTTTTAATTGAGCTTTGCTACTATTATGTAAAAAAGTACTTTCATAATTAAAGGATCATTTTTTGAGAATTTTTCGAGACGTTGAATATTTTATCCTTGTTCTTCCTTCTAAAAGTACGAATTTAAAACAAAATGTCTGTCATATTCTGTATCCTGATATGTTCTTCCAAATAAAAAAAATTGAGTGTAGAGAATGAAGGAATATCAAAAATTGTGGATCACCAATGAGCTGTTTTTGACCCTTATTTGTTGAATATCTTTCTCAAACGTCATGATATAGGGCTAAGACTTTTATCATAGCCTTTCTACTATAGGTCCAACATATCCTGAAAATTTCATGCGTTTTTAATGCTTGCAACCCAAGATCAATTTTTGAGGGGATGCCCTTAATATTAACAGATTTTACTCTCTCAAAAGTCTCGCTAAAAACAATAAACCAAAATTTCTCATGTGAAAAAGTGAAAGAGAAGTGACAATCCTGATTGTGATCTACTTGCGACGTAGCATAGCTATCATTATATTTATTCCTTTCACGTTTTTTTTTATAGTTGTACAATGATAGAAATTTTCAAGAACTGTTTTTCTTTTGTTTATGAATATGTCTATTTGATCAAGAAGCTTATCATCAGTTGAATGTGAAGAAATATTTTTCATGTCACAAATACTCTTATCATATCAAGGCTGTGTTGTTGATTTATTTAATCATAAATTTTTCCTTAGAACTATTCAAATTATTGTACTTTCATCTCAACATGAATAACCGTCGAAAGTTGTGAAGATTATATTGTCAAAAAGGAGCAAAAGAAAAATCAAGTGTAACAGTGATACAGCGGAAAATTAACTACGTTTTTTAACTACAGGTGACTGAATAGAATTCATTGAAATATAATGGTCTGTTTGCCTACTTAGTTAATATTAATGCACCATTATATCTATCGTAATGATGCAGAAATCTTTTTGTTTCTTTTCGCATCCGTTGATGTTTGATTGAACTAGACGAATAAAAAGACTATGTATCAAAGTCGATAATATTTCATTTCATTATTTGCCCTTTTCCATTGTGAAGTTAGCTTCGTATGTTTTGCATTAATAAATATTTTCAACCAATCATACGATATGTTAATCTTTTTTGTAATGAGCCGTGAGACAGTTTTAGAGTACACTTGAGATAGAATTTTTGTATTAGGGAAGTAAACTACGATATAAATTTTATTATGGACAAATTGAAAAAATAACGCATTCTTATGATTTTTATTTATTCGGTCTCTTTTGGCAGTGTGCTTAAAGATATCGTGAGTTATAATCTGTTTAGTTTTAGAATAATTCAATATTTATTGAGTTCTTCAGTTTTAAACAATTTTGATATGACTACATCGTCATTCTTAGAAAATATTTCCAGTTAATCGAAGTTTATTTTAATGATACAATGGTTTATATACAGGTTGAAATGTATATTTTTTGTTTTTTTCTTTGCAATTCTATTTTGTTCATCACTATAATATTTCTGTTAACTTTCTCATTCGTCTGAATGAACTATTCATTCAATCATCTATTCTTTGTATGATAGTGCAATTTTTCTCTTTCTTGGATAGTGTTTTCATTTCTATTCATCATACATTGATTGACATATTTTTTATCAACCTACTCCATTTTATTTTCAAACAGCCAGTTAAGATTTAACATAGATGGTAGATCGGTAACTCAAACGAGTGTCTGAATATGAATTAGTGTTTAAGTTTTTATTGCTTTCATCGAAACCTTTTACTGTGACATGGATAACACGGATGTACGTGAAGCAATCGATCGTTAATTTAGTATCGACCGTTTGTTTTTCCATTTATTGTTTAGAGCAAAATAGAATTATCATGTTTTAGTTTTTTCTGGTTATGTCAGCAGAGATGAGGAAAAGGTGAAAAATTATAGTCCTATATCATTAATAAGTTTATATATATATATATTGTGGTAAACATTAATGTCAGTCACAATTAAAATTTTAATATTAACTGGATGAAATTAAAATTCTTTTTTAATGAAAAGAAAAAAGGAAAATCTCGATAACAACTGTTTTGAATGTGTGTGAAGGTACTTGGTTCTTAATGGTGTAGGTGACAACAAGGCCCTAGGAATGTAATTTTCCTATTTAAAATAAACTAAACTTTTTTTCATAAATTAATTTTAAAACTAAATCTAGACTATTATAATTTAGACTTAAAATTAATTTAACTTATCAGAATATAAATTTACTTTTAAATTTAAATTCCCCATAATTTAATTTAAGCATAAATTAAACTGAAAGTAAACAGCCATTGGTGGTCCGAAGCAGCCAGCATTGGCGGAGGGGGATTTCGAGAATATTTGCAACGGAAGAATATTTTTCGTCTAGTAAAATGCAAAAAAAGAGCTTTAGTTCAGCTGCGAAAAAAACAAAAATTTTTGATGATTAAGGCGTGTTACAAATTCCCGCGGTTGTGTCACCGTTGTAAATATAAATTGACATCTCAACAAGGCTCGTATTGTACTCGCACTCATAATATTTTTAATAAATTTTT